ATCTATTGTGACCAAGTTCTCTGACTTTCTACCAATTGTCCCAGTTCTCCTAAAACCTTTCTTTTTTTCAGAAAACTGCCCTCGGGCGGGGGAGCTGGTCTTTGAAGAGCTACTAAATCCAGCTGTTGAAAATAGCAGTTATGGTAGTTTAACAGCGCAGGCCAAGAAGGGAGGGGCATGAAACGAAAAAAACCACAAAAGTCAACAACCTGGAAAATCTTCTGCCTGGAACAATTTTCGGGAAAGTTTGTCCAAAAGGTAAGTACCACCCCACTCCCTTAGCGCGATCAATTACGAGCCCCTCCCTTTGATGGGATTCTCTCAGCGATGCTGGTCCTTGAGTCTAGTACCATCTAATCGTCCCAGAAGGTACAGAAGGCTTGCTAGGTTCGGGTGGCAGTGCTTCTGAAGTGTTTGAATGCTAGTTTCCTATGAAGGATTATGATGAAATGTAGGAATGGCACTAGATACGAAAGAAATGAGAAAAAAAAGCAAAAAAAATCTGGAATTTCCTCGATTGTCATTACTTACAAGTAGTGTCCAGGTCCGTTGTTGTTGCGCCACCGTTGCTCACGTTTTCGTAACTCCAGGATACCCTTGCTCTTTCCTTATCAAGAATTTTTCAGTTCTCATTCTATGCCTTCCTTCCCCCCCCCCTTTGCATTGCTTACAAGACTATCTCTTCTTCGATTTAATATGATTTTGTATTTTCTCATCTATCAGCACAAGTCGATCAAATTTTCCATCGGTGTCAATCGATTTATCGATTTATTGCTGTTTTTATTTTTATGTTTTCTGTAATTCTCTCTCTCTCATAGAGCCTGTCGCAGGTAGGCTTGAACACACCGGTCTAAGCCGCGTGTCGCCCGTGAATTGCGCGAAGGCGTACCGCATAAGGCGAATGCGATAACTGTGTATGATAGAGACGCAGAAAACAGTGACTCTAATTCTCATGTGCTCCATAATATGCGAGTTCATCAGTGATGATGAATGCTCTTCAATACACTGCTGTTCTACATTTTTGTCGTGTATCATTTCTTATCATTCCACTGATACTGATAGTGATCTTATCTCTATCACTTACTGTTGATCTTATCTTCGAAGTTTAACAGAAGGTGGAACATTCTCATATAAATTGTGACCGTTTCTGGTTAGTTGAGCGTGAGTAGATTTCTTGGCTAAATTTGGCCTGGATGGGCCAATCGTCTAGCCTTTGCATGGCTGTACATTTCTTTCAACGAAATATGGTCGTCTTTCAGATGACACTGGTCGCACCTCCACCGCAACAGTGTCCATCGATGCCGTCACCGACGTCATTACCGAACGGTGTCGCCCCGTCGCCACCACCGCCATGTTCGGGTTGTATCAAGCTCCATGCGGACATCAAGCAGGTGATCATGAGATTTCTGGCAGCCTTCAACGCAAAAGTACTAGGAATCCGCAGTCCAACAAATGCGGTTGATATCGTCACAATCAGTCGGGGCGGTCTTAAGAGGGGTGGAGTGAGCGTTTCCACATTTGGTTTGCTTCTTCATGAATCAAGCCACTAGCCGATCAATATTGGTAGATCAAGGCGGCCGAAACAGGCTCATTCCGCCCCTCCTGATACCTCCACGCTTTCGCGACCTTATCTTCTAAACGAGATGGGACATGTCTTCATGTCACGTCATGGACGTCAAGTGTGGAAGATAAATACGGGTTGGGTGGACCATCTTCGCGAAACACTAAAAATCCTGAATTTTCGGTCAGTAAATATTCCGTACAGCTGCTCTCTCCCTACATTTAAAAGTTCCCTCATACTTACGCCACAAAATTGCCGTCCAACATTTAAAATTAACCGAAGAAAACGTGAAAATGTGTGGCGGAATCCTCATCACTGACATGATATGAAGCGTGTGAGGTCGTGGCGTGTCCTAACACATACACACTCCGTATCCCGGAAATGGAGAGGGCGTGGCCACATGCTTCATTTGAATGTCACTGCGGCTCCTATTTTCGTGGAATAGTCGCGGAATCCTCAGACAATAAAGAGGCACGAACTAATGGTAAGAACTGAACTGAACTGCAATGTGGCAGTCGCTAGTGATCGAGGTAGCACACTCTATATCTCAGAGCTGGAGAGGGCGTGGCTCTGTGCTTTATTTAAAAATCTAAGCGGCTATGTTTGTGGTGAGGCGTTGCCGTTTTGGGACAGTTGTAATCATGTCTTTGTCGAGCATAAGGTAGGATGACGATTGTCTCAGATGGAAGCATCCCACGAGAAGCGCATCCTACGACATGTTCAAGTAGCGCTTGCGACCACGCCCTCCCCATCTTCGAGATATGGAGTGTATCAAGAATATTGACCTGAGGACCTATACCTGACTAGCACTTTAGCACTTTTTACGAAATCATGTGAAGTGATTGAAGGGTGTTTTCGCCAGCATTTCGTCGTTAGCGTGATTTCAGGGTCATTTAATAGCCTCGGGGTGAGGGGGTGTGAGAATAATGGCGTTGATTGTCTTATTGACAGTATCCTGAATGCCATTGCGTAAGCACAGTTTCACTTTTTTCAAATCTCCCACGCGATAGCTTCATAGGCGTTGGGATGTGTGGCAAAAGGAAAACAGTTCCGTGGAATCCTAATAATTCACTATGAAATAATCCATTAAAGTTATTGAAATTTTTATGACTAAATTTGATGCTCATTCATTTCAGAATATGCAACAAATGATGGACAAATTCGATTTGATCTATATGCGATTAGAAAGCTTAATGAATGAGAAAGAAAAAGATCGGCTAATCGTTCAAGATCAAGAGATGAGCGAAAGTGGAAGTGATGATAAGGTTTGTTCCGAGATCGCTTACGCCATACTGGGGTCATATTCAGGCCTCATCGACCCTCCTCTCAGTCTAGCCAAACTGTGATTTCGGGAGGATTACCGTAGTATCAGGACACGCCGTAGTTGGGGATCCTCAGCGAAGGGGGTTGTATTAGGTGGGCAGAGGGAGAAAATCGTGTTTGGCCCAATAAAATTTTTTCAGTCGAGTCTTCGCTAAGTAACGGCCCAACGTTAGCGAATCATGTCCCAGTAGGATTGGCGGGTCATAATATTCGTTCACGTTGGCGGAGTAGCCCGCCTCGTATTAGCTCGTCCTCAACTCTTTCGCTTGGCCAGTAGCTTTTGTGAAAAACTGTAGAATTTCTGCCGAAAGAGGGAAAAAACGGTAGAAATTGCCGGTTCGTATTCTCAAAATTGACACCCGCGTGCAACGAGACCGTTTGGGTAGGGGGAGGGAGTAGGGCTAAAACACTGCGTGAACTACTAGACTCTTTCATGTATATAAGGGTTACTAGGGTTCACTGATGAGTCCCAGGCATCCTTGGTAGGACTCCCCCTCCCGTTGGAAACATATTGCACGATACGAACTGCACCTGAAATTTCCACGTACGGCCCTCCCCTTTCACCAAACCCCTTCCTCTACCACCTCCATAAATTTTCCTAATTTTCCACCACCTTAGATGTATTCTTTCCAAAATTCCTCAGTTTTTCCTCCGCTGTCGAGTGGGAGGGGAGGAAAAACTGAGGAATAGATGGCGCATGTGAGAGAGAAAATCTCTGAAAAGCAAGAAAAAGTTCAGGAAAGGCAACAGCCAAGAACATTTTATGGCCCCTCCCTCCCCTCCAGTGGCCTAATACGACTCCCTCGCTGAGAATTCCGTAGCGTACGATGTGTTCTGGTCCCAAATGGGTTGTGACTGGCACAACGTGCCCCGGTGCTTACAACGTGAAAGTACAGTTGATCATAGCAGTCTTTCTCACGTGATCCCACCCCCCCCCCCCGTAGTTAATTGAATTTGCTTATGTGTTTGCTCATCGGATCTGTTAAAGCTGTTCAATTGATTTCCACGTTTATTTGACTGAAATGGACAGCTTAGCCCTCCATTGTGTGAAATGACCAGCCAACACACGGCTTGCTGAGAGATTTGGGCTCGCTGGGGCTCTCCAGTTATTCATGAGTACAACTGAAGTTGTTGGAAGTTCTTTCTTTTGTTGGGAAAGTTAGAAGGTGAAGTAAATATGGGTGAATTTGTGGCGCACTTCGGCTTGGTGGGGGCACCAAATGTTATTATTCGTGGTATGATACCATCGGAAGCGTAAAATGCTCCTCTCTAACCGAATGCGCCGTTTTTTTCTCTACATGGAAGAAGGATGGTGTGGTGTAGTGCCATAGGGGTTCCTTTTTGCTTATCCGATGTGAGGAGGGAGGGGAGGTAATTCCTGATAAGCTCCCCCTCCTAGGCCAACCAGGCCTTCCATCCCTCCAAGGCCAGTTGACTGGTGTCAAGCCAGCTGGCAAATCTGTGAAAGGAATTCTGAAATGGGGTCGTAGTCATGTCATCGCTCCTGCTGCTTCCTTTCATCCTCTTTAAAAAGACAAAAACAGACCACTCAAGCTTTTTCACTTAGATCCCAGTTGGGGGATGGGGGGAGGGGAGAAAGAAATCTTTAGATTTAAGTGGTCCTCATTACCTACCATTTTTCATCCAGTTGCCTTTCAGGACGTTCCATCACCGGCCAACAGCCGTGCGTCACCGAATATCACACAAGGTAGCCGAAAACGAAAGCCGAACAAGGATACCGTACATCGAGTCTCGGACGACGCCCATATGAGCATCGTGAACTCATCTTCGGTTGGTTGAGGGTTTCTATAGGGATTTCTTAGAACTTCTGAGTTCCTTCCCGTCTAAACCCTCTATTTTGCAGGTCTGCGAAGCACCAGCTGCTTCGGGTGCACCATCAACGCCTGTCTCGACAACGTCATCCGGTTTTGCGGAGAGTATGAACTTTCTCGGCGGTCAAATAAGTATGTGGACTTCATGGTTTTCAGCCTTGGGAGGCGTTCTGAAGGGTAAAAGCAGTTGGGGGAGGGGGGGGGTGGTGCCACACGCCAGGCGACCATGTCATGTTAGGTCTGCTTGTCAGGACAGGAAGGATTCCTAAATATTTCAAGGTTTTGAAAAAACGTGGCAAGACAAGGCGAAACACGACATAGTATAGCCGTAGCTGCGTAGCACCTCCGAACTATAGTCGATATCCGCAGTCGGCGGGGAGCTGTCAGAAAGCCCACCCACAGCTGCTTTTTCTACCAATAGGGGTCGGACCAGCAAGAAAATAACCAGTAGTAGAAAACGCTGATTTCACACCTTCTGACCCCTCCCTGCCGACTGCGGCGGTACACACTGTTTTTTCTCAACACATGTAGTGTGGGTTCTCTCATGTAGACGATTTCAAT